GACGACTTTGTCGTGGTGGTGTGAATCCATGCCGGAATTTCCCAATTAGGAAACGTTCATCTCTTTGTCAAAGCGAGCGCCATCCAGGATCACATTCCCGCGCCCGAGTCAAAGCGACGTGCCTCAAGGCCCATTACCAAAGCGATGTGGCAAAACAAATCCCATAACGGGAAATGTGAAACGGCCTTAAAAGCACAATGCAGGGATGAAAGAAAGCATCCCGCCGATCCTTTCATCTACTGCCACTTACCCTCAATCTCTCTCCCGAAATGTCTTTCCGAGAAGCTAATACTTCTGCACACATTGCACGCCCTCCCAACTCGTTCCTCTGCTTCCGGTCTCAATTCCTCCGGGAGCAGAAGGCTGGAGCCCGACCGAGCACCACGGGAGGGATGAAGGATGTTAGCCGCCAGGCCGCTGACGTCTGGAACTGCATGAGCGACGAGGAGCGGCGTCCTTACATTGAAATGGCCAATCGGATGAAAGAGGAGCACCAAATCGCCCACCCAGATTACAAGTTCACTCCGAAACCGCGCGGGGACAAGAAGCCCAGTAGTAAAGGCCAGGGCTCCGAACGTGCTCAATCTTCGCGTTCGAGTCGCCGTCCGCAGTCTAGTGGTGCTCAAAGGCCTCGGGAGCCTGAAATTTCATACGGTTCAGAGTCGTATTACGACCACCCCCACCCAACATTCCCAACTTTGTGCTCTCCGTGGGTGCCACCACAAGATCAGGGAAAGCTGTATCTCCCCGGAGACATCTCCGATGGCAGGGAACGATCTCAGGTACTTCATTTTTTTGAACATTTTTCTTCATGTCTCTTAACACAAGATAATACTTTCAGAACTCCCATCATGCTCGCTCCGACCGTTCCGACTCATGGGACGGCAATCCTGCGCAGTTCGGGGTTTCAAACACCTTGAATCCACAGGAGATGCTTTCTCAGTATCACAGAGAGTCTGCGTCCCCGCCGGACGTCGGTTACTACAATTCCGAGCACACTAGCATGCCTTTCGAACAACAGCAGGATTTCGGGTCCCTCTGCCAATGGGACACCGATTTCTCGCGCTCGCGTGCGTCGAGCTCAATGCACGGCTCTCACTACCGACCATATTAGACGCTCAATCTCTCTAAATCAACGCATGTCTGGACATTATTGGAGCATTCAATTATTTATTCATACGCACGGTTTTTATGACCACGGCCACATCCACATTTTCTTTGTATTGATATACATGTAAAACAACCATAGACACGATTATTCAGTTTCTTCAGATCCTGTTCCTTTGCATTGGTTTTTTTCTTCTTTCACTTGAGCCCCTATTTCCTTCCGAATTGGGTGCCATCAATTTGATCGATCATTATGATGCGGGGCGATGATGAATGTTTCCTTCTGAGTCATGATCATGCTACCCTTTCTCCACACTCACAGCCAACTTCTTATAGGATAGTGACAGAGCCCTTCAATTCAGGGACGACAAAGATATTATTTGAGTTCGTAGTCTGAGGGTACATCTCCGATCATGCCGGAAAGTCAAAATGGTTGACGTGCCGGACATGCCGAGCACAGCCACATCTCTTTCGGGATGTTATTCTTTGCGCGGCGTGCCAAACATATGTTGAACAACTACCATAGACGTGTTGCAGACGTGCTTTAGCGGTATTAAGGTGTTAGTGTTCATTTCTTTAAGAGTCATGGTCTAGTTCCATGTTTTTAAATCTGCCCGACACCGAAATAGCATAAATCAATAGAACATCTATTGATTCAGTGTTTTATTTTCAACGACGTGTAGATCTATAGGGTACGACTTCAGAATAAATTCTTCATATGCCTGGAGCCCTTTATGAACGAGTTTTCATAGACAGTTGCCTCCATTCCTCTGTACAACATCAAAGTTAACTTTTTTCGGAGGTTTACTTTTTCGGAGGTTTGCTGCTGTAAGCCTGATGTGTTTCACCATTTAGGTGCAAATGAGTGGCATCAGAATTGCGCAGCCCACAGTTCTAGCACCGGTAGAACTTTCCTTCGTGTTGCAACCATTTGCGATATGTTTTCCAAGTTAACTTGAAAACATCACGGACTTGTGACACATGCACAGGTGTAATTCGTACAGAGTGCATACCACACCTACATCTGGGAGTCTATTGAGGTATTTCCACGATATTTCTTCCAGGGACGTTGAACGCGAATAAGAAAGGCAGGTGATTCCCAATGGGGCAAGATTTGATGGGAGATGTACCCATCGACTCAAGACTGATATTTTTCGTCAAGTTAGCTCCAGTCTTCAACTTCAAATAGGCTTTAAATCGGCTGTGCTCCCAAATCTTCTGATTCATGAGGCGCAGGGAAGTTGAATCCGAAGTTCAGAACGCCGATACGTCGCAGGCACTAAATCTTGGAAATCTTTGGACAGAAACAGACAAAATCGAGCCAAAATCTCCTTCGTTTCAGAGACAACCCTGTTCCCGGAAACAATAAATTCAACCGTTCGTCCTTCACTGAGAGGCGCAAGAATTTCAAACGCCCCGCTGATCAAGTCGATCTGGTTTCCCGAGCACGCAACGCACTCTAGGATATACGTACGCTCGACAGCGGCCACACCGTGCAGCGAGAGAATTGATGAACTGCATGGCGGAAAAGGAAGTTCGTTACAAGGCTCTTACAGATTTGGTTCAGGATGCATCGAAAAACCAAGGCTACGCGGGCTGGACTCGCCGTCAAATGTGTCACTCAACAGCGCTCAAAGTTTCAACAAAGTAATAGGCGAACTTGGCGACCGGATTTCGCTACCTAAATGAAGAGCTCTTAATTCCTGGCACCTAACTAATTCATTTGAAGCGATGACATCGTCGATTTGTCTGACCGACCGCAGCACGAGGTGGACAGACAGAATCCGTTCTCAAATCCGTTCAACGCCTGTTCTGTCTTCTGTCCGCATTTAACCACAACTTGCACCGACACCTGTTATTACGGCTCCAGCGTCTATCGTCTTCTAGATCTTGGCATTGTTCTTTCATCGACCCCACCAGTCAATCCGCGTAACAAAACAAAAATTTCGGTGCAAAGGTTAACACGTATTGTAAAGTTCAACGCTGAAATCGCGATGGGGCCTATCTATATGAATACTAACGTAATGGTCGTCGACTTTGTCGGAGACATTGAAGACACATGGCGCGATGTCTCCGTCAAAACGAATTTTTGGAACAAGATCGGACAAATGGCTCGTGGGAAGAATTGATTCGAAATGCTGGATCGTGGTGGCAGGAGTGGCAACACAACGATTCAGTGTACACAGAAGAGACCGAAGCACTTGGCAGTTTCAAGGAAAAGAATCAGGGGGTCCGGATTGGTGTATTATTAAACATGAATATGCCGCAGTTTGTCCCGAGTCATCAAGTAGCTGCCAGTGATTCAAGCTAGGTGCGAGGGAAGGCCTGGCATCATGTTGAACAGCAAGTGTTGGTATTGAGGAGTGTCTCGCCTCATGGAAATGCCTCCATTTTTTGTCCGATGGCCGCTCTTCTAGCAGCCAGCATTTGGCCAACATACATTAATGTATGTTCGAAATATTTCGAACGTCGTCTCTGGCCTGGAATCAATACTATGAGGTTTGCAGCAGATCAGTAGATAGGTTGATTCAAACTGTGACTTTTGCGAGTCATTGGCTGACACAAAAAAAAGCTTTCAGAATTCCGGATTGGTGTTGGGGTCACAATTCAACCTGATGAATTTGCACTTAAAAAAATGAAATGAAAAGGTCAACTGTGGCGTGGTTCCACGTTAAACGTTCAACACGAATGTCAACGCAGCAGTTCATTCGCTATTGGTCAAGGAATTGACACCGTCTTGACCCACTTGACTTCGAAAAAAAAATAGGGGTCTGGATTGGTGTTGGGGACAAGATTTCGTACCTAGACACTAAAGTTAGATTCAGAATGGTATGGGTTCACATACTTAAAAAAACCGATGCACTCCGTCGGTTTGGGGTCCCAAAGCAGATAGGGAACGAAAGAAAACAGGGGTCCGGATTGGTGTAGGGGTCAGTTGGTTTTTCCGGATTGGTGCAGGGGTCAAAAAGAAAGAAAGAAAAAGGGTCAAGGGCGCAGGTATATCGTAACATCGCATTGTACAAGTATCGGGGCGTTACTACCACGTTAAAAATGCACAACACCGAGTGAAGAGAGCACGATCAGAACCATGCTGATTTCAACAAAACAAAATACGGGCCAACGACAGCAACCTCATGGGAGGAAACCCAGTACTTGTTTATAGGTACTAGTATACGGGAGGATAATGAACGATGAGAATATGTATGTGCCAAGATGCACGACACTGAGTGACGTACACACCGAGTTGGACTGTTGGCGCTGTTTGGTTGAACATTGTTTGATGGTAAATGGCCTCGTTCTCCATCAAAACGCAAGGAAATAACAAACTTCTTTAGTCCTACAGATAGTCAGGAAGGTGCTGGATTTGTTTATAAGCCAGTTAAAATAGTTGAAGATGTACTGTGCTCACAACCAGGCGCGTCGGTTCAACATTTCAACCTAAGGATTTCCGGGGAAAATTGAGACTGTATAAGTAAATAGGAACAGTGGAAGGCTAAAATGATAGCAATTTCACGCCTCAGGATGCAATTGATATTATGAATGACTTGAGACATGACGGGGAAAAAGCTAGGCGTCCAAAGCAAAACGATGATTCCGGATCGGGGAATCGAACCCCGGGCTGCCGCGAACCCAATTACGTCAACTTTGTGAATGGGCTAGGGAGTTGCTGCTTCTCATTATTAACGTAGGCACTCGGTCGGCGGCCATTGAGTCTGGGGAGATGGGGACGGTGTCCCGGCGGCACGCGTTGCTCGAGGGTTTTTCTTCTTCTCGTGATGTTTGAATGTTGTTGAAGTAATCTTGTCGAAGTAGAATGTTCTTCCGGTTACGGTTTATGGGTGTCCCTCGTTGTGAAAAAGAAAAAGTGAAAGATTCGCGGATCAAAAAAGGAATTCCGAGACGGGGAATCGAACCCCGGGCTACCGCGCACCGCACGAATGAGAGGCGGTAATGTTACCGTTACACCATCTCGGAGACGAAAGGTCAAGGAAACGGAAGCACTACACATATCGTAATTGGGAGACTGAACTTCCAATTGTTTTCAAGGTAGGAATGCAAATTAACCTGTAGCCCCGAGAACCATCGCCTTGACACTACAAATGCATCGGTCCATTCGAAAATAACGGGATGTCGGGCAAAAACGCCTTGCTCTGCTGGCGCCTCGCTTCGCAAAAATTCGGTCATAGAAGCGGTTGTACAGTTGACCAGGTTGTACAGTTGACCAGGTCACACAATTTCATCCAGAAAATACTCTGTTACGATGAGGAATTCACTGCAGCACTCGGTGCTTGATTCGGTGCCCGATAACATCCAGCACTTGATTTAAACAGGGGTTGCTGACAATTTGAACTTTGATCGATCGTACAGAAGAAAGGGGGTGCTAGGAGTCGTATTGTGCAGGTTAGAATGGTTGTGTGTCGCCAGAATCGAACGAGCGACCTGCTGCTGCAGGGGGGGAGGCGTGCACAAGCCACTGAGCGAGGCGGATGATGGAGGAGAGTGTCCAGGCATCGCAATGTCACAACGTCGGTGGGTATGTTGGGCTGCTAACATCAAAGGCAGTGGGATACCATTCGATAAAAGTCGCGGAGCGCGAACTGAGCAGAGAACCAGCCCATGTTTCTTTCCACGGGAGAACGCCATCACGTGTGATGTCAATTGACGCGATGTGGCGCAGAAAATACACAGCTCCGAGAGCCCAACCATTAAAAGTGATCAGTCCAGTTGGCCTTGACTTCAGACAACGGGATGCCAATGGCAAAGATAAACTCCCTGCGGGAAACTGGGACAATGTATTGCCATCCGTCTGCCATTTTTTTGGTCCCATTTGGATTTCACACCAATTGTCGTCGAATTCCCATCGTTAGTAAATTTCACGACTTGAAGCGAATAATTTGTTAGGACTGGGGAGTCTAAGGGAAAGTTCATACGCCATTATTCGTTGGTTCAAGAATTTTTCGGCTTAGCCGTGTTGGAATGAGATTAAATGCAAAGTAAAAGAAAACGGGTCGCAAACACTGTACCCTGTAGAAAGATGAACCTGATTTGAGAAGGTGGGGAACGGCGCTGATGGTTCCTGCTTTCTCTTCAGGTAATACACTAACGACCTACATTCTGCGTACATGCTTCATTGGCTTGTGGAATCTTGACGATTCATCCCAACCACTCGATGTATGTCTATATGGATCGTGGGTGGATCTGTCAAGTCGTCGAGTTGCGTGCTGAGACGCCCTTTCCACCGAGTTGGTGAAATTACAAGTAAGTAGGTACCTGCGACCCCTATCAATGGACTTGTTGCATTTTTTGCGATTTTTTTTCAGTACTCACCTCGAGCCCCTATCAGTGGACTTGGTGCATTTTTTGCAATTTTTCTGAGCCCCTATCAGCGGACTTAATGCATTTTTACGATTTTTCTTTCAGTGCGGGGACGGACACCGATCTCGCTCCGCGAAAAACAGTGGGTGCTGAATTTCCCGTTCCTCGCTTCGCGAAAGATAGTTGGGTCCAGCCATCGCTTCGCGAAAAACAGTTGGTACTGAATGTCCCGTTCCTCGCTTCGCGAAAAACACTTGGGACCGAATTTACTGCCCTTCGCTGCGCTCATAAACACTTGAGTCCAGCCAAACACTTTGATTCGAATTAGCCTAGCTCGCTCCGCAAAAACTACTTGAAATTGAATCGGTGCCGCTCATGATCAAACACATCGTCTTGGGCCAGGACCGGCAGCCGTGCTCGCCGCGGGTAAGGATCGCGATGACAAGTTCTGAGTCTATGTTGGGCCAAGCGAATGCTGTTCTTAGCTGTCAAAGTAAGAGGCGTGGGCGGGCGTCAATTAAACTTTGCACCAAATGGTTCAGATGTCGGCTTGGTTGTTCATTCGGCAGCTTCTAGAGCTGGGGAATAAAAACAGTTCAACTGTTGAACCCAGTGACATGTCATGTGAGGCTTGCGATGGGCTCAGATGGAGTGAGAGTTTGGCGACAAGGAGCGCACAGCGGTTGAGAAAAGCAAAGAAAAAGGTATTTTCCTGCATCTTGGCTCGATCCCGAATCAAAGGAGAATATCCTGCCGAGTATTGGACCTCGACGATTGACAGATGGAAGGCGCGGTATGACCGCCAACGAGCCGGTACACGGTGCAGAAGTCGGCGAAAACTCGCGAGACCGTGGTATGGCAATAGATATTGTTCGACGTTGGGCCAGATGTGATGTGGGCTCCCAGAATATGCAACCGCCTTCGGATCAGGTCCCCTTTGAACTTGGTGGTGTATTTTTACAAATTGAAGAGTATGTGATCGAAGCAAATAACGAAAATGCCGAATGCAAGGTTGCAAACCTGTATTGATAGGAAGAGCAGGGGCTCTCGCGTTCAGTGAAGGCTTGAAAATTCAAGTTGCAAATCAACGCAACATGGAGCCCCACGAATATATTCTCCATGAGAATGCGCAAAGGATGGTACTCACTCAAAGGTAAATTTATCGCAGCATGGAGAACAGCTTTCAGATACTGGCGGACGCCGTGACTGTATGGGAGACTAATCAACCACCTTGAATTTTATGTCGCTACAGATATCTAGGAGGGTCATTTCGGACTTAGTGCATTTTTTGCGATTTTTTTTTCAGTACTCACCTCGAGCCCCTATCAGTGGACTTAGTGCATTTTTTTGCAATTTTTCTGAGCCCCTATCAGCGGACTTAGTGCATTTTTACGATTTTTCTTTCAGTGCGGGAACGGACACCGATCTCGCTCCGCGAAAAACAGTGGGTGCTGAATTTTCCGTGGGTGCTGAATTTTCCGTTCCTCGCTTCGCGAAAGATAGTTGGGTCCAGCCATCGCTTCGCGAAAACAGTTGGTACTGAATTTCCCGTTCTTCGCTCCGCGAAAATAGTTGGTGTTGAGTTGGCCGTTCTTCGCTGCGCTCATCAATACTTGGAATTCAATGGGCAGCGCCCAAACACACTCGTTTGTGTCTCCGTGTTGGGGCTGGACCGGCAGCCGTAGTCGTCGCGGCCCAGGATCCGTATGAGAGGTTGCCAGTCAATGTTGGACCGAGCCTCTTAGCTATCAATGTAGAGAGCGTTGAGTGACGGGTAAACTGTTCACCAAACGGTTGATCTGTTCCTGGTTGACCTGGGCGGTGCACGGAGCTGTGGAATGAACAGTTCAACTGCTGGTCTCAGTGAGAGGAACATGTGAGGCTTGAATGAGACTTGTGCGCGCAGCGGTGGTAAATGAGAAAAGTCAACAAAAAGCCATTTATCTGCATCATGGCTCGATCCCGAATCGAACGGGAATATCCTGCCGAAGACGGAGTAGTGACTTTCTTCAGAAATCGGTGCAGGTACGGTCCAACCGCCAACGAGCCGATACGTGGTGTAGTCCAAGGTGAGGGAAGTCAGCGATACTGTGAAAATGTATTGTTCATTGTCAGGGTTCCCAGAATATGCAAACATCTTCAGATTTTTAGCCTTGAGTAAAACGAGACATACAAGTTGAGTGGCGGAATAATAATAATAAAGTGTGACACTTGCTGGCCTTGGTAGAAAGAAAAAAAAGGGATCTTGGGCATCATGGCTCGATCCCGAATCGAACGGGAATATCCTGCCGAGGACGGAGTAGTCAGCTTCGGAAATTGCAGGTACGGTCCACCCGCCAACGAGCCGGTACGCGGTGTAGTCCGAGGTGAAACACAATGAGGGGAAACTTGCGGCGAGACGTGAGTGGCTCACCAAATGTACTCGATTAGAGAACAGCACTAGTTGCAGAAACAGTGGCCGGGACGAGCAGTAGTCGACGACGGTGGGAGGACAAGGATCGCGGGTGCAAGGGCCCCGAGTTTGCATGGGCGGATATTAGATGTACCTGGGTTTCACCTCGGCTGGCTCAGGGGCTTCATCCGCCCAAGGTTTGCATGGGCGGATGGCAAAGAATGGGAGGCAGGCTGGGGGCCCCAAGTTTGCATGGGTGGATGAGATTAGATTAGATGTACCCGGGTTTTGCCTGGGCGGGTTCAGGGGCTTCATCCGCCCAAGGTTTGCTCGGACGGATGGGAAAGAGTGGCAGATTTTTAACCTCGGGCGGATGGGAATGGACGGCAGACAGTTGGACTCGAGAGGACAACAAAAGAATGAGGATTGGCTGGTTCGAACGACGTACGTTGTGATGCCCGCCGCAAACGGCGGGATGGCGGGATGGACCGTTTGGTGATGTTGCCGATGGAAGGTGCCCGACTGATGGTTTGATGGTGGGGCGGGGACTGGTTTGCGGCTCGATCGTGGGCGGGTCTCCATGTTGTGGCGTACGAAGAGGTGTCGAGTCGGCGGTGTCGACGAGGAATAAAGAACAAGTCGACTACGTCATTGACGGCGGGTCTGATGCGCCTGCAAGATGGCTACTTTCGAGGCTGGCGATGCACATGAAGTAAATTACATATTGTTGCCTACAGCTATTAAACGGACAAAAAAACTTGAAATAGCCGCAGCCGTAAATCCAGCAGGAGAGGGAGAAAATAAATAAGAGCGAACGTGTTTACTGGGCAGTACTTGACTTTGATGAACACTTCGGATTTGAATGTGCGAGGGCACATGTACACCGAATTTGGCAGCGAAGCGTTGTAAATAGTGGCGGATACTTGTGGGCGGTTGGAATTCATAAGGGTGAGTCGAGTACTTGGTGAGTACTGCAAGGGTGGGGTAACGAGTTGTCGAGACGCTGCTGTGATGAAATGGATTGTAGCTGGAAGACGCCGAACGCCGAAGGATGCATGGCTGAGTAAAAATGCGACGGGGTCGAGCATGATAGTCAACGAAGAGCATGGTTGAAGGGCAGAAGCGGAGCGAATTTATTGCAAGAACCTCGGGGTAAATTACGGACACATTTCGGGGGGCGGCAGGAGAGACGGAGAGAGTGTGACAAGGAAGGCACTATGCGGCAAAGGTCAAGGGACGTGCGAGAGAAAGCGAATCGATGTAGAAA